CACTGGTACACAGACTATCCGATATCACTGATAGGCAAACGCCAGTCGCCCATCAATATCACAACCGATGAATGTCTCCTAAATAATAGAGATCTGCAGTTAAAGCCACTTATCATTGAATATCCGAAACAGTTCTCGGGTTTAGTCCTCAAGAATCCAAGAGATGACAAGTTTTACGGCTGGAGAGTAGACGTGTTCAATGACATCGATAGGGCCGGTATGACTTCCTCTGCTTTCCATTTATAACTAACAATGAACTCATTTGTTTACATAAATTTTAATGAATTTTATAACCGATTCAATAAATTATTATTTATAAATATATTATTTATAAACTTAATTTTTATTCTAAATTTAGATAATTTTTAATTCATTTAGTATTTGATTTTTGATTAAAAGGCGTGCCCATTAGGGTTATCAATAAATTAAGAGTTTCTTATCATTACTTATAAGTTACAAGAATATCTAACTATTATTAATATTTCCCATTTATTATTTTTGCATTATACAATAAAAGTATAGATAACAGCCCAGAATTATTAATAAATTTAATTTGGAAACAGTGTTTTTAATGAATGAATTTTGTATGATATCTCTGTGTGTATAGTATTAAGTGGTGGACCTCTTGAGCACAACTACCGTTTGGCACAATTCCACTGCCATTGGGGAAAGACCTGTAGCTGTGGTTCAGAGCACACAATAGACGGCTCCTACTATTCAGCTGAAGTGAGTCTCAAACTTCATATAATATATGGTGTTTTGCCTCTCATTTCAAGCATTTTCGCTAATAATATATTCAATCGGTTTTGTTTGCTTCGGTGGTCACTAACACTACAAATGTGTTTTTTATGAGCAAAATTTAATTTTATATATTCTTTGTATGAATACAATACCCACTCGACTATCAATACGACACGAAATACAGTATAAAACGGATGATAATAATTGTCGGGTAGAAGTCAATTGAAAACATCTCATGTATTGAATTAATTGTTTATTTTCTGAAAAACAACTTTCGTTTTTAGTGTATATATCGTGAAAAACACAATACATGTTATAAAAAAGCAAAAGTTTGGTTAAAATATCACTTGTTTGATAATAATTTGCAGTTAAAATTTAATATAGAAAATAATGATTAACAAAAATTATATCATAATTGAAATCTAATACATAATAACTATAAAAACATTAAATTCTTTTAGTTTTCTTTCAAATCAAGAATTGATAGCAAGTAATGGTTTTCACAATTAAATATAATTTCCTATTGAGAGTCGAAATCAATTTTCTGATCAGATATACCTTGAAATCAATTTATAGTTCACTTCTAATAGCCATTAATGACTGCAACCGAAAGTTTTTGTCTTAAATGCAATTCCTGGTCATTGACGCTACGTTTCTCTGTGTATTTGATGTCTCATTAAAAAATAAGAAAAAGACTAAAATATTCAAAATATTTTTTGAGATACAGTAGTCATTAGAATAGTTGTGAAAATATATTTTCCCCACCAGTATTCCGATAATATTGATAAAACTTATTAACTAATGAAGTAAAAAGCTATCAATTATATTTTATATACTGTATACAACTGTATGTTGTTATACAGTAGTATCATATCACATAAGATGCCGTTTATTAAGACATTAGAGTTAAACACTGGATATTATTTACTGAAATTATGATCCAATGATAAGCATTGTGAAAAACAAAATTGATTGAACATTTAATGAAATAATTGTAGTGAACTTTCATATAATAATTTAATGCAAAGGAATGTCAAATAAGATTATTGTTAAAATAAAAATAAATTTTAATGAATAGTAAAAACAGGAATTCCATCAATACATTCACTACTGAATGTTACGAGAAGTTTTGAAAGGGTATTTTTGAACATCATTTCAATCAATGATTAATTTATTGTATAAATGCATAAACATTACATTTATATGTACAGTAGTTAAAGATCAATGTAATCTTTAATAATGAATCAATAAAATATAATTTTATAAAGATTACTTAATGAATATAAAATAATTGAATGGTTAGTTAAGTGTATCACTTTAGGCAATGATAGCAAATGAATATGAATTTATGAGAGTATAAAGATTATTATGAAATGTAATAAATTAAAATATTTTTATAAATGTAGTTACATTTGGTTCACTGGAATACAGACTTATATAACAGTCCTCACGAAGCACTTCATTCACCAAATGGTTTATCAGTTTTAGCCGTATTTCTGAAGACATGTGATGTGGAGAACGAAGAGCTGACAAAACTAACAAAACTTATGTCTAAAATCAAATATAAAGGACAGAAATTAGTGATCAATGAATCCATTGATTTGTTGCAACTATTGCCAAAACAGCGATCGTATTGGACTTATAACGGATCACTCACTACACCACCACTTTGGGAGACAGTTAACTGGATCATTTTCAAACAACCAAT